CATTAATTGCACAGTAAGAAACCCAATAATACAAGGTCAGGCATCACTAATAAAGAGGACTATCAAATGGCAGTTAAGGCCTAACAAAATGGGGGAGGGGGGGGGGAAAGGATGGGAAGGGGCATACGGCTGCACAGTAGATGGAGAAGGGGGAAACCCGCAGTATGGTTAAGGAATGGTACCGTCAAACAAAAGATGCAGATTACGGATTGAGAAGGGAGTCATCAAAATTGGATGGAAGGAAATGCTCTACCCAGGGATTCCAAATCTTCTTGAACTTAGGTATGGAATCTAGGATAGTGGCTTCTATTTTTGCGTGAATCATTGCCTGAGTGACCCTATTCGAAACTGCAGTCATACTCAACGAGGGAGATTTCCATGATTTAGCGATAACCTGCTTGGCTGCGGTGGTGACTTGTAGAATAAGTTTGAAATGCGCCTTAGCGATGCCAGGTGGTCGCAGGTTAAGAAGCGCGATTAATGGATCGGGACGGGTCTATATGTTCATGGACCGATCCTCCCCTTGGGATACGATCCAACCCCACAGGAGAAACCACCAAATCCAGCAATGGTGGAGAGCAGAAGAGACCCGCCATGCGACCCAGCGCAACCTCCTTTGCCAGTTTCACTGAAACTATGGTGGGGTGAGCGAGCGCCAATCGCAAATTGTCCACAGGGGGAGGGAGTGAACGAAGAGCACAAGGATCCTGAACTCGTCTAAAAATCCCTGTCTCAGCAGAAGTGCCCCCTGATAGTCTGAAAACCTACTTAGAAAAGGAAGCACCCTTGATATGCACACCGGGGTCTTCCCTTCCCCTCCAAACTTGCAGGCTCCGTAGTTGTACTGCCAACAACACCCCATTTTCCAGCCAGCCGGCCGACCCTAGGCAATGGTCCCTCTGGTCCCTGACTGGAAAAACTGATTACCCGCCCACTCTGAAGTCATCAGCCTCATCCAGAGACCGCATAACAGAATGTAAGCCTCCGCAGCCGGAGCATTCATGCTTGAAGCGGCATGTTGATCCAAACTTGCAGGCTCCCTCATTGTACTGCTAACAATACCCCTTCTTCTGGCCGACCGGTGGACCCGAGGCAGTGGTACCACCAGCCCCTGACTAAAAAAAACTTATTACATGCCCACACTGAAGTCAACAGCCTCATCCAGAGAATGATGTCCTTGTGATCCCCATGCAAGGACGGACGGACTGCCTTATGTTGGCGGAACTGTTCATCATATCTCTCAACCAGGTCAGTCCCCCATAGATGAGCTTACCAATGGCATACAGTAGCAAAAGAGCACTGAACAATGCACCGGCGCCTTCTCTTCTATTACACTTGCCAAAAGCGTGCACTTAACCAATTTAGAAACATGCACGGAATCATCCGATACCTCTGTTCTTCCTCCTCCTCTTTTTTGCTCTCATCTGACTTACCCCTATCCAGGTTAAATTTTTCACGGGGAAGCAGCGAAAATATCTCAGTGTACTCTCCCTTCCATATCTTCTTCTTCCCTTCCGGCTTGAGATGTGTCCCCAGCAGACCCTCAAAGCACATGTAAACCTCGCGCTTCGCGGAATCTACCAGTCTAATCCTCTCTTCCTCTGCAATGCCATGCTTACCATTTGTTTCTGCCATGCTGACCCCATCTGCAGTCCATGAAACAGTCCAGGAAGCACAGTCCGTGGCAGCCTCTGGAGTGGAACCTACCACTGGGGCAGACGGCAATGCCATGGGTGCAAGTGAGACCACCACCACTGGCGACACATTGTCACCCACCACCAGACCACCCATGGCCCCCCCAGCCATGGGAATAACCTTGAAGATCCCAGGTCACCGTGGGCAAACCACGCCATGAAGCAGCCTCTAAACGGACAAGAATATCATGCACACCTGCCAACAAAGCCCTCAGATCAGAGTCACCCACCACACCCCAGTCAGACCCCAACCCAACACCAAACACACCGCCGATCGCCGCCCCCTGATGAAAATCTGTACCTCTGAACCCCAGAGTCACTCACACAAGAAGACAGTGTAACAGACACAGCCAAAGGGACAATAGGCTCACCAGGCTGCACAGGATGAAGAGATCCCCCAGATGCCTCCTTCCTCTGACCGTCATCCCCTGACAGGCTCCCCATCAGTGCTGTCAGGAAGAGCGCCACTCTCAGGACTCTCTCCTGTCACACCCTGGACCTCTGCACACGCGCTGCACGGTGTCCAGTGATGTCATCCCCTTGCTTCTGGTCGCAGGGCCCTGGCCCGCCTCCTCCATGCTGAGCTCTCCAGGCACCGGAACGGCACACAGAAGCTGCTCCTTCTGAAGTCCAGACCACCACCCATCATGCTTCCTCCCGCCACAAGCTGTCTTTAGCACACTGCCGGAGTGGACATCCAGGTCCGGATGGATGGAAACCCTGGGGACCCCATCAGAGGGAATGATGAAGTGTATGGACACAATATGCGTCAGGGAAGTGCCCCTTACTACCATTGTACATGTACCACCAGGCCAGCTGTCTCATGGCGGCCGAGCTATCAATGTAAGTTGTTTTATATCTATTACTGATGTACCCCTGAATAAAGACGTTATCACACTATTGGAGGCAGCCTCTTTATTTCCTTTGGAGCCTGTGTTTTGAAGGTGCTTTGCTGTGGCTGGGAGCTGTGCATGCTAAAACCCCTCTGGTGGTTGTGACTGACATCTCTGGAGCCTGGATGCTTCTCTCAGATGGATGACACCTAGTGGTTACCACACGGATGACACCACTTCGTTCCAGTACTATACACCCTGAGCACCAGGAGCAGGTCTTAAATGCTCCATGCGCATTCCCTTGCGCTATCTGGTTAGTGCAATGTTTGTCCTTTTCCACCACCACGAAAGCCACAAGCCTATGTCATAAGATAATGTGCACGCATCACCTCTATCATCTCAACTCATAGAGACTAATGCACTTCATAGTGTTTATATTGGTTTTATTTTTTCTAATTTTATTAGGGTTTATTACCCATGCGTACTACCATTATAAGTTATTGATTTATGTTATTCCGCACTGTTTTGGACTTTATGCACATGTTTTAGATTTATTAATATCCAGTGTGTCTCATTGCGATTCCTAATTATTTATATGTTTTTTATTAGCGCTGCATTTCTATTTTGTTTTATTTACTGTTTATGGGTTCCTGAGGTACCTTTTTATGCCAGCAGCTATTGTATGTTTTAAACCCAGCGCTCGATCTTCCATTTTTCATAATAGGATTCTCAGTTCCAAACTCCTTTAACCTCTGTCATGCCGGCTCTTCGTTCATGTTTTTCCTTCTTTTACTGTAGGCCTCCCTTTTCTACAATGCTTATGTTGCCTTGTGTCTTAAAATACTTTGGCAGTAGCAGGTGATGGCTAAGTATATCAGGTCCCTTCCCAGGAAACTTATAGAGAAAATTTTGTGTTCTGCCTTTAGTGTGCCACTGACCTTGAGGGATTACCCATGCTTTTTTATGATGGCAAGGTTGCATTTACATAATATGGAGAGAATACCTTTGAGGTGGTAGTCTGTGACATTCTGCCTAAGGTTGGGAGACTCTGGGGTCTTGAGGGAAACAGGGAGCCTTGGGAGGTCTTGATAAGGGTGTGGAGGAATATTAGACCTCCACTTTGTGAACTATCCATCTCTGAATGAGTGGCTTTTTTCTTAAGCTGTTCTTTTCACTCTCTTACTTTTTAAGTTTTTCATTACCTTTTGTGATTATCTTTTTTGCATAAAGCCATTTTTTGTTCAGGAACAGAAATTGATGTAAATTATTTTATCCTTTTATGTAAATATATGTACATATTTATGTATTTTTTATTTTTATTGTTTGCATAAATTGGGAGTGGGAGAACCAATAGTACCCAGCAGGGGGGGGGGGGAGGACAATGGTGTCCAGAGGAGGGTGGGGGGGGAAAACAGTAGCACAGAGTCGGGTATAGGGATAACAAAAGCACCCAGTAGAGGTGGGAGTAAACACTGGTGTTATTGGAAAACTTTTACCTTGTACTGAAGTCTATGTCTTGTGCTTCTGCCCTCTCCTTCCTTAACTTCTTCATGCTGTCAGTACTATACAGACTCCGGCAGGTGATCACTCCACCAAGAGCTCCATCAACTGGCTAGGGGACACAACCTGGATCCTAGGAACGTTAGGATTATATTAAAATCATGAAACAGTCCTGCAACATTTGGGATGACTGGAGTTATGATACAGCATAAAAACTTTCACACAATTTATTTTAAAGTGTTAAAATACTACCAAAATAGAGAATTGTATTGTAGAAAAGACAAGTTAAAAAAAACCTTGAAACAGCAAAATGGAAACTTTTAGAATGATAAATGCGACAACCCACAGGATACAGTGAACAGAGGGAGTCAGCAGTAATGAAACAGCTGGTGTTGGAAATACCATCGAGAAAGCCAGTGCATAGAGTCCTAGCTGCTAAAGCTTCATTTGAAAAATGGGTAAAATACAAGTTCTAAGATAGATGATGCACTTCTGACGAAGAAAGAAAATCAAGACACTGACCAAGAAAGACATGGATGGATGATGCTATTGACACAGTAAAAGCTGAAGGAATTAATTTTGGTGATTCACTTAGATTACTTGATCTTTTTATACCTGGAAAACAAGAGAGGGCATTTCAAATAAGTTATAGAAAGTACAAACATAGGACCAATTTTTTTTTTTTTACAGGTTGTGAAAGACACAATTTCTACCTCTTTATTTAGCATTTAGCAATTACCTATTAAAAGTAATTAACTGCTGCATATCAACATTTATTTGTTTTATGAAGAGAAATTAAACTTTCTTAAAGGAATGCCAAAATGTCATGGTTATATCATGGTGAAAATGAAAGAAAGGAGAGGAAAGAAAATTAGGAGCTCACTATAGGATAAAAAAAAATATATATATATTTGCAGTCTCTAGTCATCTCCTGTACTGTGTCCGCAGTCTCTGGTCATCTCCTGTACTATGTCTGCAGTCTCTGGTCATCTCCTGTACTGTGTCTGCAGTCTCTGGTCATCTCCTGTACTGTGTCCGCAGTCTCTGGTCATCTCCTGTACTGTGTCTGCAGTCTCTGGTCATCTCCTGTACTGTGTCCACATCTGGTCATCTCCTGTAGTATGTCTGCAGTCTCTGGTCATCTCCTGTACTATGTCCGCAGTCTCTGGTCATCTCCTGTACCGTGTCCGCAGTCTCTGATCATCTCCTGTACTGTGTCCGCAGTCTCTGGTCATCTCCTGTACTATGTCTGCAGTCTCTGGTCATCTCCTGTAGTACATCCGCAGTCTCTGGTCATCTCCTGTAGTACATTTGCAGTCTCTGGTCATCTGAACTGGAACTAAAGATAGTATTGTATATAAAGATATGAAAGTGATGTCAGTGATTGTGAGAAACTGAGCTTTATAAATTCTAACACTAGCGATGATGAGTTCCTGGGGTTCCCAGAAAACTAGAAGCATATTTGAACCTTAAAGTCTCTCCTCATTTGTTTATGATAGTGATGATGGTTCTTAATGCCATTGTTGACTGCTGTTCACTTTACATGGTTGAAATATTATTCTGTTATATTTTATTAAATATTTTAGTACACCATTTGGTTCAGAAAATTTTTCTTCTTGTTTTCCTCCTCTAAAACCTAGGTGCATCTTATGATCAGGTGCTTCTTATGGAGCAAAAAATACGATATATATATATATATATATATATATATACACAGTTGCAAGAAAAAGTATGTGAACCCCTTGGGATTACGTGGAGTTTTGCATGAATTGGGCATAAAATGTGCTCTGAACGTCATCTAAGTCACAACAATAGAAGAACACAGTCTGCTGAACATAATACTACACAAACGTTAGCTGTTGCCATGGTTTAATTGCACATAAAATGTAAATATTAACAGTGCAGGGAGGAAAAAGTATGTGAGGCTCTAGCTTAATGACTTCTCCCAGAGCTAATTGGAGCCAGGGGTGAGCCAACCTTGACTCCAATCAGTGTGATGATATTGGATGAATTGCTGACAGCTGTCCTGCCCTTAAAAAACACATACCTGTTTTGGGTTTACTGGTTTCAAGAAGCACTGTCTGATGTGAACCATGCTTCGCAGAAAAGAGCTCTCAGAAGACCTACGATCAAGAATTGTTGACTTGCATGAAGCTGGAAAGGGTTACAAAAGTATCTCCAAAAGCCCTGATGTTCATGTGTCCACGGTAAGACAGACTGTCTACAAATGGAGAAAGTTTAGCACTGTTGCTACTCTCCGTAGGCGTGGTCATCCTGTAAAAATGACTGCAAGAGCACAGCGCAGAATGCTGCTTGAGGTAAAGAAGAATCCCAGAGTGTCAGCTAAAGACCTACAGAAATCTCTGGCACATGCTAACATTTTTGTTGACACATCTACAATAAGGAAAACATTAAACAAGAATGGAGTACATGGGAGGACACCACGGAGGAAGCCATTGCTGTCCAAAAAAGAATATTGCAGCACGTTTGAAGTTTGCAAAAGAGCACCTGGATGTTCCACAGCACTACTGGCAAAATATATTGTGGACAGATGAAACCAAGATTGAGTTGTTTGGGAAGAACACACACTATGTGTGGAGAAAAAAAAGGCACAGCACACCAACATCAAATCCTCATCCCCACTGTAAAAACATGGCGGAGGAAGCATCATGGTTTGGGGCTGCTTTGCTGCCTCAGGGCCTGGATGGATTGTTGTCATTGATGGGAAAATGAATTCCAGAGTTTATCAAGACATTTTGCTGGAAAACGTGTGACCATCTGTCTGCCAACTGAAGCTCCGCAGAGGATGGGTGTTGCAACAGGACAATGACCCAAAGCATACAAGTAATTCAACAAAACAATGGCTGCAACAGCACAGAATACGCCTTCTGGAGTGGCCCAGTCAGAGTCCTGACCTCAACCCGATTGAAATGCTGTGGCATGACCTTAAGAGAGCGATTCACACCAGACATCCCAAGAATATTGCTACACTGAAACAGTTTTGTAAAGAGGAGTGGTCCAAAATTACTCCAGATCGTTGTGCAGGTCTGATCTGCAACTACAGGAAACGTTTGGTTGAGGTTATTTTGCTGCCAAAGGAGGGTCAACCAGTTATTAAGTCCAAAGGTTCACATACTTTTTCCTCCCTGCACTGTGAATGTTTACATGTTATGTGCAATTAAACCATGGCAACATCTAATGTTTGTGTAGTATTATGTTCAGCAGACTGTGTTCTTCTATTGTTGTGACTTAGATGATGTTCAGAGCACATTTTATGCCCAATTCATGCAAAACTCCACGTAATCCCAAGGGGTTCACATACTTTTTCTTGCAACTGTATATATATGTGTGTGTGTGTGTATATATATATATATATATATATATGTGTGTATATATATATATATATATATATATATTAGAGTGCAAAAGACAAGAGTTTGAAGAGTTTTAACAACCTAATGCTGCTTATATCCTGCAGCTTCTTTTTAGCTTAAAGAGCTGCTTGTGTTTTTTTCATTAGGACATATTTTCTAAATGTTGCTGTCTGCAATTATTTTTAGCCGGCCTATGGTGACGATAGTGGAACATACCTTTGCAATGTGCATCAATATCATAGTTTCCTTTGGGAGAACATGCAACAGGGGGATTAATAGGCAGAAGATTGTGGGAACAGGGGCAGAGTGTTGTTACATTGAAACAGCAACTTCAAAGCGCCTAAGCAAGGACCTTTATGGCACTATCACAAGCTGTAATTTTCATGAGAGCTAGCCACTGAAATATAAATAGGCTTTTCTGTGATATTTTCATGTTAAATCTTATATGAGATTTTAGAGGTTGTGTTTACATCTACTATAACAAACTATGCTTGAGTTTTCTGAATTTCAGTGCATTTTCCTCTGTGCAAATCCTTTAGGGACCAATATCTGTCCTCCACAATTGATAGCTATCTCTTCAATTTTCAGCACATTAACTAATTATTTTTGTTAATTTTGTTAATTGGGATCTTTCCCTTTTTTGCAAAGTGGTAAAGGAAAAAAGTGCAAGAGCAGTGTGCACCCAAACCACCCCATATTAGGGGTGATTCAGTATTCTTTGCAAAGCAAAATTTCATCACATTTACTATGCTCAGGGGCAAATTCCCTTGCAAAATGAAAGTCTTATTTGCCTTTATTAAGATAAAATAAAATGTAGGTATACATCTGTTAAGCCTATTTTCCCTAAATAATTCTGCCCTGGGCAAGTTTCCATTGCTGTATCTTCTACAGTATCGTAAACTTTTACCCCCATCCTGCCCAGGCCAATTTTCAGCTTTCAGTGCTGTAGCACTTTGAATGACTATTGTGCTGTCATGCTGTCAACACTGTACCCAAACTAAACCTTAATCATTTAGTTCACACAAATAGAGCTTTCTTTTGGTGGTATTTGATCACCACTGGGCTATTTATTTTTTGCTAAAAAAAACAAAAAAAAAGACTGAACATTTTGAATAAAAACACATTTTGTTTTTCATTTCTGTTATAAAATTGCAAATAAATAATTGCATTTCAGAAATGTAGGCCAAAATGTATTCTGCTACATTTATTTGGTTAAAATAACCCAAATCAGTGTATGTTATTTAGTCTGTAGGAAAGTTATAAAGTCCACAAACTATGGTCTGCTGCACTGATGGTCGATCGGTCAATTCCCACAAAAATGTCAGGATGGTACAGATATCCCCCAAAGTACCCCTTTTTGGAAAGTAAACAGTCTGGGGTATTTAATATGAGACATGGCAAGTTTTTTGAAATTATAATTTCTTGGAAAATGAAAAAATAAAATAAAAATGTTTTGACATTACTTTTTTTACATACTGTCATCAGTGCAGTACAGCGTCATCATATAACCAGTATGGTGGTGATCAAGGACACTGACTGGTGACAGTCCGAAAAACATACATTTTTAAAAATAATTTTTATGACTTTTTTATTTTTTTACAACTTTTTTTTTATAATACACTGTGACCAGAGTAATATAATGTTACCATAGAAACATTGTACTACTCTGAGGAAGTGATCAATATTTTTTATTACACATTATGGCTGCTTATAGCAATCCATTTCATTGCTAGAAGCAGGCATTTTAGTGAATGAAATTGGTTAATTCAGTTTGTTTTATTGTGATTAGCTGTGATTGGCTACAGTTAATCACATGACACAGATGGGCTGTGATTGGCCTAGTCTATACCATGTGATCACTGTGACCAATCACAGCTAGCAACACAATTGTATAGAATGGATGGCATGAAAGGAAGCCATCCATGGTTTACAATTGTCATATGATCTGCTGTGATTGGTCACAGAGGTCACATGGTACCGGCACAGGCTGATATGCAGATCAGTCATCACCTGACATATGACGCCAACGGATTGATGAAAGTCGGGAGCTGGTTAAGATAGTACGCAGTTTGCATTGCCATCACTACCTGTGTTTGCTTGACCAGGTCAGAGATGGTCATACTCAGAAAAAATAAAAGTTGATAATTTAAAAAAATGTATATCTGCAAATAATGTTTAACAAGCAAAAAAACTACTACTTCTGCATGTAGAACCTTTACCTCTCAATTTAGGCCCCCCTGGCTTGGACAGAGTGGGGCTCAGACTGTAGGACTTGGAGGTAGTTATAGTGTAGCTTTTTTCGCAGCTCCAGATGGCAGTTGATGCCACTTGGAGTTGCACTATTCAGTCAGTCAGAAATATTTTGGCTATTATCTCTAAAATACCCTATTTATTTCAACCTGCCTTGTCTTTCCCTTATCCCTTGTATTATGGCCGAAGCAAGCTGCTTACATACTGTCCAGCCATTGAACTATATTTTGCCTATTGTTTCTGAGATAATACATTCTCAATTTTATAACAATATAAAACCTAAAAAACTTAAATCCCTTTCTATTTGCTGCCTATACAAGCATTTTGTTCAGAGCCAGCCAATTTCCACCAAAGATATACCTGAAGTCTATATTTTGATTTTATTTTAATAACTGGTGATTCAGGGGTGGGGCAGTGTCCAGAAAAGTTTGTGCTGTGGTTTTGAAATGTTTTTGTGCACTCTGTTTTGAATATTTTATTACATTTTAAGATAATGGAGTGTGGAACTGTAAAACAGAAGGCCAAAAGCAAACAATGCTAATACAATGTTATGCCACTAGCCAATTTATACAAAATTAAGCTTTAGCTACAGTTGTGACCAAAATTATTCAACCCCCAATGCTGTAAAGGGTTTAGGGACTATAGTGTACATTTGGAATTGTATTCAGAATCAAATCCTACAAGGACGTTGTAACTACCCAAATGCAACTAAAATGACATCAATTGTTTATGTAATACAGTAGTAAATGGTTCTTATGTGGTTTCTTCATTGCCACAATTATTCAACCCCTTAAAGACTACCACTCTGAAGAACAGAGGTTCATACAGGTGCTTTCCATCAGGTATTGAAAACACCTGTGGATGTCACCGAGCAGCAATCAAGCATAATAAGCACCAATTAGGCAGCTTTAAAATGACTGTGATACTCAGCTCCTTCTAGACATTTACTGGTGTGGTTACAAACATGGTGAAGGCAAGAGAATGGTCCAGGAAGACAAGAGAAGAGGTGATTTCTCTTCACAGGAAGGGCAATGGCTATAAGAAGATTGCAAAGATGTTAAACATACCAAGAGAC